ATGCAAGCATTTGACTGAGCTATTAAATACTGATTCGTTTTCTAACACTTGAAAATTTTTTCAGGCAACTATTAACCAATAAGCCCACGACAGAAACACTCTATGAAATAGTGCGGATACCTGTCTATTTCATCAGATTTGGAGTTTGCCAATATGCTCAGCAAACTGGGTCATCGTTAACTTCGTTAGGAATTTTCTCTTTCTTAGCTAGTTTAAAACATCAAACTGTTTTTGAGCAGCTACATTTAATACTTGCTAAAATAAAAAGGTAAAAAGATTAAAGTAATTTGTTTTTCAATGGTGGTTGTGAGAGCGAGAAATTAGTCTCGCAGGGGTTGTTTTTCCTTGCGCGCAGACTATGTTTCATCAAAAAACCCACTCCAACTTATAAAATTTATTAATTTGTGGCCAGGTGCACAGTACGGGAATAAAACTTACCAGAACGTCTCGTTTTTTCATCCTTATCCCAGTCTTGGAGATGAAAATATCGTCAACGTCAATCTGTAGATATCTCTCAAGCGAAAACACAGTAGGACTAACTGGGGATAAATACTCCAGGCTGTCCATAAACAACATTGTGTGTAGGAAAAACGGAAAACCTCCGCCGAAAAACACTTTTTTAACACCGTCTTTTCGCCCATCGTCCAGCAATACCGTGGCTTGGTCGGTCACTGCGATTTCCAGGTCTCGTTCTCGTCTCTTGTTACGATTAACAACATACTCAACTGTTTCGTAGGGAGTTACTGAAGGGTCATATCGAAGAAAACTCCACCTAGTTCCCTGTCCTTTCTGTACGTAAGGCTTTAAGACAGAGCCGCCTCTTCGAGTTATTCGTAAAAGCTTCGAGGTTTCATTTACCTCAACATCTAACGTTTGTTTTTCCTTCTGCGGTTTTATAACCTCAATGCCAAACTCTGGTATCGCTCCTACATGATTTGAGATGAAAAACAGAAGGCCTGTAGCAAATTTCTTGCAGTAGAGTCTTACTATTTGCTGCACATTGGGTTTGAGTTCTAGGTAAGTTTTGATGTCTACGAAAATTACAAGTGAATAACGTCCAACAGTTACATCCGGTTTTAGATCTTCTTTTAAATCCAAAAACGGCCTATCGTCAACTTCACTTACAACGTACGGCGCACGAAGGCCGTCCAAAAACCGTGCTACATAGTGAGAGAGCTTCGAGCGTTCTTTTATCCAAGATTTATGAACTAACAATATTTTCTTCTGAACTTGGAATGTCCTGTTGCCAAGTCGTGTCGACGAAAAAGTCGATTCGTCGAAAGGAAGTTCATTTGGAGACGTGGTCTTCCAACCAGCTTTTGTCAACTCCGTGGCAATAACGTTGTCTGCAAAAGAAGAACAAATACATTTATTTTACACAACCTCGAAAGGTGCGGCCGCCATTTTGAAACTTAGGAGCAAATTACAGTGTTTGTGCGGGAGTTCTATATCAAATATTTTCCGCAACATTTGACTTCTGAAATATTCAAAATCCCTAAACTAAACATACCAGTCAAAATATTTTATTGATCATATTAAAAGTATTCATAAGGGTTCACCATTACAATTCATTCCGCAGATTTTGACCGTCAAACTTGACCAAACTCTCCGTTTTCTTCACAGAATTTTCATTTCAATTTATTTACAGTTCCAAGTTATTTGACAGAACATTCAATGTCAACAGAGAAATTCTGTATTTCGCACCACGTTCGCTACACGTAATGAGTATAACTGTAAAATTATTATTTTTTAAGAGCTGCATTTTTTTCCACAATCATATGCTCTCAGTTGCAAATTGCCAACTGACATCGTTAGGATATCACAGCTCACGTTTGCTGCACCTACGATACAGAAAACTAGACATAAAAAATGAGTAAAACAGCTGCAAAATGCAGTAAATTCTTTGTCGCCAAGGCGCATCAATCCAGGAGCCCCAAAGAAGAAGGGTAGCTGACTTTAAACCGGCTTTTAACGCCGCATAACAATTTTTTGTTGTCGTAGCTGCTGGAAAAACGACACTAAACAACAAGAAATGCTCAAAAAGCTCACACTTATATGCAGTAGGGTTTCATCTGAAGAGTCAAAAGTTGGAACAGCCTTGAACGTACAACATTATAAACAATACGAAACGAACGTTTAACTTAATAGCTTTCATTTGAATGGTCACACACTAAGGTTTTGTCTACAGATTTAAAAATTTGGACAGCCTTGCACAACATAATAAACAGTACCACGTGAAAGTACTGCTCAATAGCTTTCCTTTGGATGGTCACACACTAGGGTTTCATCCACAGGCTTAGACGTTGGAACCACCTTCTTCAGTATCTTCACCTGACCGAGCTTTATACGAATTCATTATGAAAGTTTCTTGTTTATTATAATGGCTTGAAGTAATATATCAAACACGAGAGACAGAGTTTCATAGGGATATCCAAACACCGAGAAGAGAGTTGAAAATACGACGCGCAGCAGAGTATTTTTGACGAAATTCGAGGTGTTTGGATAGCCGATGAAACACTGTCTCGAGTGTTTGATATATCTTCTCAATCGAAACAAAAAACTAAGGAGTAAAGGGAAAAGTAAAATCGTCAAAATCTATGCTAATTAAGACCGGGTATGCAAACCTCTTTCACGGTTGTGATTTTCTTTGTTTCAACTTGATGAATTATTAATGAGTTTAAGAAATCAAGATATGAACTCTCCTTTTACAATAGTAGGGGTCTGACACGTTTCCTTGCAGCTTGAGGCTCAAGTGACTGAAACAAGTGGGTTTTTTTTTAAATTTCTCTTGCTCACCACGGAAACCACAAGTCCGCAAAGTTAGTTTAGGGAACGGGAAGGACCAACATAGAATTTGAACACTCGATGACATTTAGTAAGGCAGAAAAATCCCTTAATTCAGTGTTAACACAAATATCAAACCACCAACTCATAAAGCCATTTCAAAACGACCAAGTCCTCAGGAAAAACGGTTCATACAAAAATGCGTTTTCATATGAATAGTTCATGAAGGTTCGTTTTGACACGAAGGAAATAGCCTTCTGGAAAGAGAGCGCTGACACATGAAGAATGCTTAGTTGTAACATGATCAAACAGTTGAAACTGCCAACACGTTCCGAGCATCTTCCACAAAACTAGGAAGTTTCAAGAGTTACTTTCAGAGGGCATGAACGTCCCCGCCCGGCAAGTGAAAAGAAACCATTTCGTATTTTCGATCGTGCTTTTAATTTCCTTTAGCTGGGCGGGTGGCCAGAAGTCAAGAGTGAACGGAAACAAGTGACAGAAACCTTCATTAACGCTTTCGCAGGTTAATTAAGAACGTTGAGACTACCTTTCCATCAATAACACGTATTTTGATCGCTGTTTGCAGTTACTGATTGCGATGCCATTTGCTGCTGGACGTAAAAGAAAATATTCATCTCTGACAAGTGTGTACATTATTAAACTGTTTTTCAATTTGTTCTAGACAGTTCTACAAAATTTTTCGGGCGTTTGAAGTGCCAAAGAACAACTGTATCCCGACGTGCACTACCGTTTTATCTGTGACAGCGACAAAACCCAAGCACGCTCACAACGTTTTTGCATGGTTCCAAACAAATCTTTTCGTCCATTAGAAAATAACATCATCACAGACAAAGAACTTATGATCGATCGATCGTTCGTCTGTACAAAAGATCAAAAAGTTAAAAATTTGAGCAATGAAGAGTATGTGTGATTTACAGACAAACAAGAAAACACCCATCAGATCTTTCTTAATTGAACAGTTCAGAATTGATTAATCCTACGTTTTAATTTTCTCCTTTAGCTGAGAAAGTAAGATTACCATGACACCAAAAGAATCCCGGCTCAATTCAATCTGGAGTGCAAAAATTGTAGACTGATAGAGTGTGATATCAGACTCCGATAACGTTTAATTTTCCTTGGCATACAGAAATGGACATTTTACGACATAGCCAATCACACTGCTACCGATTACACTGATATTTGTATTAAATAGTAGCTTATCTACACTGATATCGATACACTTTTACTGCACTGACACCCAAAGAAACCGCCGTTTCCATTAGGTTTCAATTCCTGCAGTCAAAAGGCTATCTCCGAAACAACAACTATTTTAGGAACACATTAACGATGGATTTGCAGTTGCTGTGCTGTTGGGAAAGCTTGCCGACAAATACAATTACACAAACACACGTTTGTTTCCAATCAGCGAGGAAATTTGTAAAGTATTCCTCTCTGTTTTCAAAAACCGGCTTGAACTTGAACCTGCACGAGAGGAGAAGCACGCGTTTCTGAGATGGCGCAATTCAAGCTCTTAAAATATGCGTGCTGTAGCTGGTATGAAAGGCGAGAACAGTATTATAATATACAGGAAAGAGTTAAAACACCTCCACTTTTGAAGACATGTAAAGGAAATATTTACTGCGATTACAAAGAGAGATGAAGTGCCTTTTGTCATACATGTATTTCAACTCAAGCCGTAATCGAAAACAGGCTTAACTAAAACATCTGAACGCAGACACGTTTCCTAATGAGTTCCTGCGCTTATCAAGTTTCACAAATTGATGCTCTTCAAGCTAAAGGCTTGATAGTTTATCATTCGTTTACAATGGAACATTAAGGTGCCAAATCTTATTATCGGGGACACAATCTTTCCAAAAACGCCGCAAGTTGTAAGAAACTGATCTCTCTTTCGCTCGCCGGCGAAAAGTTGCAGCTGATGTTCACGTTTTCGTTTGAATCAAGCTGCTTCGGTCATGAATAGTTTTGCGGGAGATTTTTAAAATTCAGCTAAAAACACACGGCAGAAATTAGTAGAGTAAATCAAGCAGTCTTGTGTAAACAACAAGTTTCTTTTAAAGATAAGGGAGCTAACCAACAACTTAGGCCGTTTTCTTGCTACTGAATGGTACTGACTACTCGTTGTATTTTCCACCGGAAAAAACCTCCCAAATTAATCTACGTTAAAAAAAAAAAATGATCTCCCGAAATTATTTACCGCAGAATGCAAAAAAATATTTATGTATCTTTGCTCTACAAAACGACAGCTTTTTTTTTCCTACAAAAACATCTCTTATATAAGCAGTCTGTTATTGCGCTAAGGTTTTACAACGATTACAGGCGGTTTCTCGCTTGTTTTGAAAGGATTTCATTTAAAATCCATTGGTGTATAAGAAAGTTGGCACTTCGGAGCTCTCTTGAAAGATAAAAAATCGGACGATCACAGAAAGAAAGCCCTTGAATTTCCAAAATCGCAACAGGTTTACCATAAAATGCAAATTACTATCACGACCACTTATCCTCAGAGGAAATTTAGACGGCCATCCTCACAGGTTCCGATCAACAAGCAAAATTAAACTCTTGAAAATAACACCATAAACTGGGGCAAATATCGATAATTCCCTGGCGTTCTTCAAACACACAGGAGGCCGACAATTGCTCGATCTTACCTAATTTGCAAAACACCTGGATAGATCGCAAATTGATTAAAAATGCTCGACAATCACTGGCCTGGATTTATAAACTTCTTGACACCAGAGAGGTGCCGTATCTTTGTTATAGCCACACAACTGCAGCGCAGCTGTCAAAATGTTGCGGCTCTGAGGCAAATACGCTCCCACTTTCTCGTTTATATTTGTATAAAGCGAAGATTTTGTTCAAATAATCTTCTAACTTTTATAGCGGGCAGGCAATAAAGAACAGAAATCCCATAATCCACAGATGGTTTGAGAACAGAAAACGTAAGCTAAAACCGCGGTTCCGAAAGTGAAATATGCTTCGTCCGGTTGAAACAACTACGACAAAACATGAACTGAATTTAGCCACCTTCTAGAACGTACACGAGGGCAGAACTAAGTACAACAATGAACTTCATGAAATAAAGATTGAAAATCTGGTCTAATCTTAGCCCAGTGTCATAAAATTAAGCTACTAAAGCATGATTTGCAAGCTTACAATCGCTGACAAAGGACATTACAAACACTCGTGTTCGGCGACAACAAAACGTGTGGCGCAAGATTCTCGCACGAGCCCTCTCATTAGGCTGTTTACAGTCGGCTGGACTGCCGCGAAAATTAGAAAAACTATCTTAACACAACCACAATTACTCGCGATTCGGTCACCCGCAGATATTCCCTAAAAAGCAAGAGTTACTTCATAAACGGACGAAATAAAAGAATTCACAATTTCCACCGTGAATTCGCTCACATCTTGGTCGAACAATATAACACAGATCAATATTGAAGTACATATTTGGTCCCTCTACCATACAAACGACAGCTTGAAGAAGAAAATACCCAAACAACGATATTCTACGTATTCAGTGTTTGTATACAAGCGCGATTTTATACGGTTATGGAAACATTTGTTCACGGCATGCCTGCGGAGTCGATATCACGACCTGCGACTGTGATTTGCGAAAAGTTTTCTGTGCGAACTAAGATGGACTTACCAGCGACTTCACGGTCATTGTAGAGAGAGAGAGTTATGAAGAAGACGAACCAGGCAGCAGGAATAACAGCCCAACACACTTTCCGAGAGAATCGTAACCTTCTCACGCGTGTGACGACGCGCATCGCATCGCTGCCCTCTTTCGACACAAGTTGAAAAATCTCTCCGAGATGTCCAGCAGCGACGGCCTCAAACTGTTGATATCTCGACGGATTAGTCTGTGAAAGAGTTCTGCAATCACCTTAAAACTAACTCTGCTACATCTAATCCAGTGAGTGTGCTCTGCTATTTTTCAATAAACATTTGTTTTGGCTGCTCGCTGTAATCTGCATTGTGCCGTAAGATTTGAACGTTCACAGAACAACTGTGAAATCAAACCAGTGCTATGACGGGCGAATCGATCCGCGAATGAATGCGTTATCTGAGTGAACATAACGCTATTGTTCCGATCGGACATTCTACTGGCTCGCTCCAATCAAAACGAAAAGTTAATGGCACGCGATATTAATCTTGTAATTTAATTAAGTGCCTGCATTGTGGCAGTTGGTGTTAATTATGTAAAATGAACACCCATTTTGATTTGACAGTTTACCCACGAGAGCATGAAATAATAAACAATGTTTTTTGTGAAGTTCTGACTGAGTTGCAGTTGTCTAGTTACAAATCTGCGGAAAAATACTTAGTTAAATTAAAACGAACTGTAATTGAGGAAAAATTATTTACATTCCAAGAATTATGTTACACTTCCTTCAAACTAAAAAAAAAATAAAAAATGTTCTACTTGAATGACTTTTTTTCAATTGAATTTAAAATATCACTTTGGGCAAGCGGGCGGCAAAGGTTTCTTATTGAAATAATTCAATCTCCCAGATATCCTGATTGTGCAGGCATTTTTTAAGTGCAAAGATAAATAAAAAGAAAAAAAAAAAGATGTTAATTCAAGAAGAAAATAATCTTAGTGTTTTCTAGTTATTTTCCCTCTGAGGCGATGCCTAATTATTCATAATTTATAACGTTTCGAATTCTTACAGATCTCGAAAGCCGGCTGAAACTCCCTCGGGAATTTTTAATTAATATGTGCAATAAAGTGTTTTTAGAATACAATGCCGTTGTTTGTTTTTGCATTTCGACGAAAATACCCAAAGGCATTTTGCCTTCTTAGCAGAAGGTCAGTATGCATATTTCTTGCGAAAAAATGTCATTAAAAGTACAACTACGAAGTCATCATGTTTAGATTTTTTTTCTACAACCCAATCAACTTACACTAAAAACAATAATCTTGCCAAATCCAATTAAAAGTTACTCTCTTTCACGTTCTAAAAAAGCTAAAGAGGACATAAAACCTTGTAATGTTGTTATTTTGTGGGGAACTTATTAGAATTTGCAGACGGAGCCATGCTGTGCGTTTTGGACTCGTAATCTACTCGTTAATAACCAACAACGAGACCCTGTCGCCGCAGAAACCGCTATTTCCCGCGAATGGCTCCAAACTGTCTATCTCGGAACACTGTATTCCAATATAATTAATTAGTACAAGGAGCGCAACATTTGCAAAACAAATTTCTTCCTTGTTCAATAGAAAAACACATGTATCTTAAGGCACTTTAAACAATGAAGCCGCTTGATCTGCTGATGGTAATCTCGTTTGCTTAAGTCACGCATATACCTGGGTGCAAATGAAAAATGTTAAAGAAGCGAACCGTATTTTTACATAACAAACTGTGTCTGGCAGTTATACTTTATTTACTAAGTTTATTTATTCTTTATAATTAACAGATTTGTAATGATCCTGTTTGAAATGTCGCTCATTACTTTGGCCAAAGATAAATTTTGCTGCTGTAATATACTTTCCTTTCATAAAGTAATATCGTAAAGTGAAGAGGGTAGTTTCTTCTTGTCACTCTTTCGCTGGAAATGCGAGGCCGAGGGCCTCCGGCCACTAACCCCCTCCCCCTACCACCCTAGAGATCCTCCACTCAACACCGTAAAAAATGACGGGTGTACGTGTAAATTAAACGCAGCGTGGACGGGCCCCCCCAGTTATTATGATCTCGGGTACCCGAGACAACCCTCCCTCTGAGGCAACTTTATCGAGCGTTTATATGTGAAAACGTTTTCTCTATAGGCCGAGTCAAGGTTATTCATAACCCTTATTGAAAAATCTTCGGTCATTCGACTGATCAAAGTGGGTTTTGCCGAGATAATTTTCACTTTTTTGGTATGAATTTCTGCTGTAAATCCTAGATTTAGACATTTCGTGACACTCGCCACACCGAGAATTGTCTCAGTTAGGCGAGCCAAAGTGTTTAAATGAACTTTCAACTTTTTCAACTTTTTCAACTTTCAATTTTATTGCTTCCATCACCTATTACAATATATACTATAAATCGCCTAATATTACTATTTTTGTTGATACAAAACAAGTGATGAGGGAGTCTATAGAAAAGCAAAAAAAAAAAAAAAATGCTTGAAGAAAAGTTGTCCCGCCTGCCAGGATTACCCTACCTGCCGAGGCGAAACAACTCGCCCAACCCGAGTTGTCTCACCCCCGAGACGGGTTCGCGATCCTCTTGTAAACGGTTGGTTGAATTTTGCAAAGAAATAAGTGAAAAGATACCTCGGCTAGGGTACCTTGGCGAGGAGGGGTGTGTGTGTGGTGTGTGTGTGTGTGTNTGTCTCGGGTAACCAAGACCATATAAATGGGGCCTTAAAGCCAATCCGTAGTGCAATTTTTTTGTCTCGACATCGTCCATCCCACGTGTCGCACGAAAATCCGAAACTTCATTTTCTAACAGCTAACATAGAATTTATCGATCCTCCGTTAATCTAAGAATTAAAACTGGGCTTTGGTTGCGATGATTAACAATTCTAAACTGATCATAACATCATTACATGACGTAACTAGAGAGCAGCTGTCCCATGCCTATGATTTAAGAAGAAATCTTTCGTCTTGTTGATGGTTGCCAACAAAAATTCGCTTCCAGAATATCATCTAGCCTGCGAGCAGGCTTATCTTTGAGTCACGCGTGCGAGCGCAGAGCAAAGCAATCCGGCGGGAAGGAGTCTGGTGAAGAAGCGCTAGGAGAGTCACTTACTCGTCTCGCGGCTTCGCCGCTCGATTTCGTTCTAACGGCTACGCCGCGCGCGTCTGTGCTCCAACGTGAGCCTGCTCGTAGGCTAAATGTCATCGGAAAAAATAGGGTTGTTATAAATTTATAATCACCAAAACTAATTCGCTGCATAATTGTATGGTTTTACTAGGTTACCGGCGAAAATATGGTTTCCGGCGAAAAAAATGAACTTTTAAGAATCTGACTTTGCATAAAGATTTGACTTGTTACTGAGTAAACGTCTGTGACCACACAACGTTTCCTGTGATGAAACTATTCAGTTAAAAATGTAGCTTCAAAATAACCTAAAACGAGGAGAGGAGACATTCGCTTTCTTTGCAATGTTGACCTCCAGAAGTTCTCCTGGATATTTAATAATAGACCAATTTTGATCGTACTTAGGCCTTGGCGGATTGTGCTCCTAAAAGTGGCATATTATGCTACTACTGAGCAGTGCTCGAAATTTTGTCAAATTATGCCAAAATTGTGCCAGAATTCCCAAATTATGCTCACAAAATGACGTAGATTCTGTACATAGAGGCGCGCAATAACGACACCAAATTATGATGTTTTTCAAATAAACTGTTTTTGTAAATTTATTTGCGTTTTATGGCAGTTTGTCTCGGCCGTCAGCTGTCCAAATTACCTGCTCGCATCTCTGAACCGTTTGTAAAATGCCTCAAGCCACAAAGTAAATCAACTTGTCTTGACAGTTCTGAGTTCTTTCAGCACCAATAATTGCTTGAATAAACATGGATAAGAATAGCATACACAAGTCAACATCAGCGCTTATTGTACTACAACATTACGCTGGCCTGGTGATAGTCTGTCATGGCTTCTCCATGTTGGAGAAGCCGGATGGGAAACCAGGGTACCAGACTCCTCCAAAAGGTTAACCGCGCACGCAGAATTCGCCAAAGGAGGCCTAGTAACTAAGCATGTCAGAACAAAGTCAATACCACTATTAGCGTAGCTAAAACACGCATTGCAAGAACATACTACCTAAATTTAATTTATTTCTGTAGAAAACACACCATATTTACTAAATTTTATGAATTTATGCTCCAAAAAGTGCTAAAATTTGCTAATTATGCCGTGGCAGTGCTCATTTAAAACATTATGCTTTTTTGCTCCAATTATGCCAAAAATTATGCAAGCACAATCCGCCAAGCCTAATCGTACTGAGGTCTATTGTTTCTAGTCTCCTCCGCAGCCGTTTTTTGGGATGTCACGCAACGCTCCCCCCGAAGAAACGGCTGCTCACATCC